CTAGATTGGTATCTGAAGTCTTGTTTGAATCGTGGGATCAGTTTTGCCCACGAGGCAAGTAAGGAGAAGAATCCTCTCGTGAAACAGGAATATCTACCCGCCATATGCTGATCAATTGTTGATGTTTTCGTACTTAACTCTTTTTATGATAAATAATCTCAAATAAGATTTGGTTTATATTTTGAATGACAGGTCTTTGCACCCCTAAGGCTGGACCCAAGAGTGGTGGTGCTGATTCGTGGGGCTTCATTTCAGGTACAATTAGTAGAGTTGTCTCGGAGTTATTCATTCCCATGAATTAAATGCTAATTCTTTGCACTGTCTGCCTTTCATTTCTGGTTAAGGCAAACTATAGACCACAACATAATTAAAAAAATAAATCACGCTGTAATACCTTTATTTACATTCAGCCAATAAAATTATGTAACATTTTTACACAACTTGATTCTAAAGCTAAGCCTAAATACTATGTGAAATCAATCTATAAATTCAATGAACAATGCTCAAAATCCAGCTATAATAATTCTTTAGATAAGAATGACTGAAGCTTTCAAACCAAAATAATTCTTAATAATACAAATCACTTATAAGATCAAGGAAGCTAAAAGAGTGTTTCAGTATTAACATAATTTACATTCAAACATATTTACAATACACTCGATAAACCATGAAACTATATAAGTTGGTTTTATCAAAAGGTCAGCTTTTGAACTCTTCTTTACAGTGGCCAGTTTAGTCATCAACTCAGCTGATAAAACCAAATGACCTTGTTTACCCCACCGACGCGGCACCACAGTTTGTTTAGAAATTTACCCCCTTTATTCATTTGTAGACAACAACACTTTATTTAGAGGGAGCGATACATGTTATTGTCCATCTTTTCACTCCCTAATTTGAAAACTAGAGCAAATTGTTTTTCGCAGATCATCTGCCTTCTTTGAACCAGGGATAGGAAAAATTTCCAGGGTTTGCCAGCAAGCGCCCTGAAAAAACAGCTTACGAAGCGGCAATTGTTTTAAAATTAATGGTCTTTCCTCTCAACTCAGGTTCGAAGCTCGGGTGGGCCCAGTCCCCAGGCAGCAACGATCTTCAGCATCGCCAACCACACAGTGGCAACTGTCAGCAGCGTGGGTCTAGTGGAAGCGCGGCAGCTGGGAACAACAAACCTGACTGGGTTTGTACAAACAGCTGACCCAATCAAGGGACAGACAGTGTTGCATTCCAAGGTACACGTCATCCTACACAACCATTCATACCATGCTGCAGGAAATGATCCAATCAGAATTTAGGAAAGCCGTTGTTTGCTCGACGTTATTACACCCAAATCTCATCTTGAACAAAGACGTCTACAATGGCTTCCTCAAATTGCTATGCAGTTGAGGACACAACGCCTTTTCCGTTGCTTTATTTCGTCCACCTTTGAACCCTTTCAGTTTGACTCCCATAATCT